ATTTATGTAGGTCTGTTAGGGTTGAACATTTCCAAAACGTTGATTATATTATTTCCAAACGTTGTTTTCATTACGATTATATGCGAAAAATATATGGTAATTATCGTAAGCTTCTACACTGATACAATTTTATTTATGCCATAAAGATTTTTATGCTGATATGAAAGTCAACATTAATAATTTCGACACATTAGACTATCCTGTAGATAATGTATTCAATATGCTACAAGTAAATGAAAAAGTCATTGATAAGTTGAAAGACGAGTACCAGTTAAACATACCTATTGAGTTTATTGGTTTGAGGAGTAAAATGTACTGTACTCCTGTCAATGGTATTGATATAATAAAAAAAGTCAAAGAAGTGAAGGCTTCTATTTTTAAGCAAACCATTGATTTTGATCGTTATTTAGACTGCTTACAGTATTTACATATTTATACAAGAGAGTAATAACGATTCGTCAAAGGAAAATTGCGTTAAGTCCTTATGACGACAAGAGGTACTTAATAGCAAACAGCACTGATAAGATGGATATCCCGGATGTAGCTTGAATCATTCTTTCATCGACTTCTCTCGTAAAAGGACTAAACTTCAAAAAATGTGTTATCAAAACCTCCGAAGAGATATCAGTATAAAAGATAATTTGTATGAATAAATGACTGAGTTTATTAAAAATTGTATAAGTAGAGTCGTAGAGCACTACAACTTCAGACATCTGCTTTCTACAATTGACCACGAATCATCTAGTGATGACTGATTCTACAAAAGATATAGACTGGTCTAATTCAGAATAAAATACTGCAGATTTTTATAAATCAGATGATGAAAACAGTTCATGTTGTGTAGATGATTGACAATTTTTAAATGTCTTTTGTGTAAATATATCTATAAATATATCTACAATGTTTATTTTCCTTTTCATACGCTATCATTTCGACAAGATCAGCTTACCATGTTTCACCAATGTTGTGAATGTCGAACGATCTTCGAGAATAATTATAATAATTATAATTACGACGATATAAAATAATTACAGCATGCTCATGAATTTCATCTACAACTCTTTTCTGCTTATTTTCCATTTTTTTTATTTAAAATGTAAAAGTTCTTGTTCAACAGTCTTGCTTTTGAGCTGTAACAATCTTGAAAATTTTTTTCCAACTTGTCACTAATAAGTTTTCGTAAGGATTTATTATTCACAGCAGTCTGTCAGTTTGAATCCTGTGCCAGGTATCTGATGTCCGAAAACATCGACACTCATGATAATGATCTCAAAAATTAAACTCACGCTATTAATATATTATTTCAGCCTCTCGTATCTATCAATAATAGACTGAATTTCATTAAGATGATTCTGATTACCAGCTGATTTTTCTACATATAACAATTTAAGACGTTCACAAACTCATTAGGATCGTCCTAATTTATATATAGTCCTACATCACTTTTTAATGAATTCATCGATGTACTTATTACACGATATAATATAAAATTTTTCACTCGCTTGATAACATATCTCTTCATCCGGCTTGTAATACTTTTTATGGGTATTAGTATTTTTTATAATTCGACCATATTGACTTAAGTCATCTTGTATTACTATAGAAGATTCTGGCTTTTTCTTGAATAACAATTCTACTAACCCACTGTTTTAATCGTAACTTTCATTGTCTATAATAATTTGATTATCTTCAAAACTTATTTACTTATTTTTACGTTATTTACTTATTACAAAGCTATTTTTTACTGTGACAACCTTGGTGCTTAAAACCAACAGTAGACCTCATGAAATATAAAGTTTATAAAATTAAATACAATTATAAAAATTATCAAACTTATAATATTTACATTTTAAATTAAAATTAATGGAAAAGAAATCGAGTTACTAGAAGTTATGGAACCAAAGACATCGATCGATATTTACAAGAAAATTTTCAATCATCAAGAATAAAAATTAATATTAAGTGTAATAATAGTACATTGCGTAGTGAAATCACTTGCAATAAAATGATCGACTCTCAATCAGCCAACTAAATTGGACGTTTACTGGGCTTTATTCAATGTCTCTTGGAAGCCAATAAAAGTTATGTCTCTGACATGCCTATGGCCATTCTTAAAGTGAACGCCTTTCATCTTGAATGTAACATAACATCGAGGGATTATATTAATGAACATAAGGGTCATAATATTCACAAGTTCTTTTCTGCTGTACATTTATGTATAGGCTACAAAATCATTGAAGTGCCCAAGCATATTATATATCTACTTTTGACTGTCACCGTTATTGATCATTTGCAGTTGCGTTAGGTAGATGAAGACAAAGACTTGATACATTTTCGAAGTGCAATCATTACAATTTGTTTACGTATAGAAAAAGTATTATAATGGGAATAGTTCACTATCCTAAAGTAGGTAGTGGCTATATAAGTACTCCATCATGTGCTCTGGAAGTTAGTTATCGACAGATAGTCAAAAGACTAATACGAGAAAACATTCAGTTCCCGAAAAGTCTCGGCCTAAATGTGATGGTAGACGCCAATCAAACAAAAAGAAGAAAAACAAACGTAAAAACTGTGAAAAATTAACGTGTATATTCATCTCTTACTGTCATCTCAAAGATTGGAAAAATACTTAGCATATAAACACCGGTCGTCTTCAATGAGTCTGTCACTCATTATGAAATCCATGCGCATTCACCTTACATCTCACAAAACTTTAATATCAGCGATGAAATGAAAGTATCAATCGAACATTAAGATTTATGTCTCTTACCATCAAAAAGTTCTCTGCACATTATAGGAAGATTTCGACGAGACAATGGAACTGCTATAACTGGTATAAAGTTTTTAAATAATGCTATATGCCATTTGTTTGAGGACATTCGCTATGAAATTAATGCTATTGAATAGACAGCTGTAAAAATGTTGGATTTTCGAATACTATGAAAGGTTTACTTTTATTCAATCAGAATCAAAGTAGATTTCTTAAAAATTATGGATGATTTGACATTGAAGAAACTAGAAATATAACAGATCAGAATGGCCACTTTGGTATATCATTACCACTCTTAACAATTTTAGGTTTTTCTGAAGATCATGAAAAAATTCTCGTGAATGTAAAACATAAACTTATTTAACACGATCTATGAATAATCTTAATATAATTCTACAAAATCAAGTTATAATTGATTGTTAATAAATTGAGTCGCTAAAACTAGAACGTAAACGAATAGAGTGGTTGATGTTTTGTGTAATTATGTTAGACAGACATAAAATACAATTATTCAATTTTATTCAAAAGATGTACCTATTTTCATGAGTATTCGATCGTGGAAGATTTATGAGCATGCAAAACTATTTCAAACATCTAAACATCTTTGGATAAACTAAACATCAAATATATTGGAAAAACTAAGATTCGTTATATTAGGTTTTCAGACTAAATACAAATCTGATAAAACAAAAAATTGTAGCAATTTTGATTATTGTAATGTAACGAATGTAACACTTTTTCTTAATTCTTATGAATATCCGTATTTCATTTAAAATCTCAATATTAATAATAATGAATATTCGATATCATACGATATGTATGCGTAATTCCTATACCTGTACTACAACAGAGATTGTTCAATCCACTTTTGGATATGAAGTAATTTAATACTCACGCACCTTTAATAATGATAAACTGTTCAAAGCAAAACGAGGAATTGATACAATCTGTAGTTGATATAAACTGGGTGGGTCTAAATTAATCATGGTTCACTTGGAAAATTAATACAATTTAGAAAATAAACGACTTCGTAATGTGGGCACCGCTTTACATTTTAATGACGCCGTAAACCTAAAGACTGTTCACGATATTCTTCCAGTAGAAATTAAAAATGTACGTGACACTCTGTTAAAACTAAAAGCTCGCCTCGAAGAATTGGATGGATTAATTAATATTGATACAAAAGAACTTGAAATGAAATATATAAAAGTTTATTCTGATATTAATAAACTGAAAAAGTTAAATGTGATAAATTGAAATAAATTTTGTTTGCTCTGCTGCTGAAACGAGTTATAAAACAATCATCTGAATATACTTTACTGTGTAATAACTACTTTCAATTACTAGAATTTAGCATTACAAGCATTTAAAAAAATTATCAATAGTCGATCTTTAATGCTTTCTTGAACTATATAAATACAACGTATTTAGGTTATTGCAATCATTCTTCATCAGCATGGGGTAGAGTAATAGTGTTCCATACATTCGTCTCTATAAGACTACGAAACCAATAGCAATGATAAGGAAGAAAATAAGTTATTTCAGTGGAAATCCTATACTGAAAATTATTCAAGCAATGCCAAATCCAGACCAAAATCAGAACGTTATAAAAAATGTTAAATAAATTAAAATACAATATTGTATATATGTATCCCTTATAAATAAATAATTTTTTTTTAATTACATCAACCAATGCATTTGTTTTATATACACCTTACATTTTGTTAGCGACTCTGATTCATTAAGCCGATCGGTAGCATGGGGTTAGGGGCTGACGTCGATAAAGAAGCTGGAACGTCATCGCACGAGAGTCAATGACATTACCTGACGAGAGCATGAGACCGATAAAGTAACATGGGGCCGCAGGACCACTTAAGCATTGGGGTTGGTAGTGTAGGGCATAAGGGTCCTAGCGACACTCGAGTATCTGCGTCGGTAACGTCATGCCTAAAGGGGTTAACACCCTCTAGGTCGGTTGGAGCGTTGGTAGCGTCGTCACAAGATCGTTACCAACTTTTTTACCGATACTCATTACTCGCGCAATAATGTAGAGTCGAATTACGACCTCAGTGCCACACAAGCATTAGTGGCGGAAAAGAGAAGCTTGTGCCGGGATTTCCATAGCTTATATTACTTGCCGTACCGGCTTTTTCCTAATTGACTTTTGTTTGCTTCCTCTCCGTCCGCTCCCTTGCCCCATCTAATTCTGAACGATCGCTTCGCTTCGCAGCATGAGCTAGATCAAGTGCAGCAGATCAAGGAGGAAATAGAAGAGTTGCACGAGTACGTGGATCGTTTGGAGGAGCGTTCGCACCACCGCAAACTTAGGTTACTCGAACAGGTAAGCCGTGTCAGATCTTAAATGCTGCACGTTCAATCACTTCTTTATGTTTCAGAGTTATTTTCCCTTGTGTCTAGCGTAAGAACGATCTCACACCATTTTTTCACATTTTATTTTAACTCTACTACGCACACCATACGTATTTATTGTTTGAATGCTTTTTTCACTAAGTTTTGTTACAGATACAATTGCAGTTCACATGTCTGCGATATTTTATTTTAATCAATAAGTTGCAGCTTCACTACCTTATTTTATCGCTTTCATCTTATTTTACCAGTTATGTATGTTCTTATTTTTGTACGCATATTTTGTTCATTTATGATTGTACATTTCATCAAACAATGTAGTTATCAATTTTCAAAAATTGGTTTTTCAATAAATATTTTATCGACCATATCTTCAGTTTTTCTTATATTTCTTATTTCATTATTTGTACCCTATTAGTTTGTATTGAAATTGATTGCTGGATTTTCAAAGTTTGACGGAATATATTTAACGTTCTTATCGTATTTTCCAGGGCTTGACAATCTTCCTGTCGTATGCGATACTTGCAGCAGTGCTTGGAATGCTGCAGTTCGGATACAATACCGGCGTTATAAATGCGCCAGAAAAGGTATAGCTTGACAATCAATATTTTATATATAAGAGATATGGAAATTGAAAAGCGTGAGCTTAGACGTAGATGAGATAAAACGTTTTTCAAGTCGATGGATGTTTTCGTTCTATCCAACGGAATTTATTCTCGCCAGATTTCTCAAGTGGGTCGCGTCTCTCTCTCTCTCTCTCTCTCTCTGCGCATCTATCTAATTAGATAAGATTTGGTGGTATAGATACTCGAGGCCAGACGCTCCTCGAGTCTTATATCATTTTTCTTTGTTTTCGTTCTTGTTGCAGAACATCGAGAACTTCATGAAAGATGTGTACAAAAGTCGATACGGCGAGGACATCTCCGAGGACTACGTGCAGAGCTTGTACTCGATAGCCGTGAGCATATTTGCCATTGGCGGAATGGTTGGAGGTTTCAGTGGGGGCATGATCGCCAACAGATTCGGCAGGTGAGTGGAAGCCGGAGCAAGGCCAGATCATGGGGTTGGCCGAGCGAGCGGCGAGTGACGGGGTTGCGTTGCAGGAAGGGCGGTCTGCTGCTCAACAACGTAGTGGGAATTCTGGGCGCTTGCCTGATGGGTTGCACGAAGATCGCCTACTCTTACGAAATGCTGTTCGTTGGGCGCTTCGTCATAGGGGTAAATTGCGGCCTGAACACGAGCCTCGTGCCCATGTACATATCGGAGATTGCGCCGCTGAATCTACGCGGCGGCCTGGGCACGATCAATCAGCTGGCCGTGACGATCGGCCTACTCGTATCCCAGATCCTCGGCATCGAGCAGATCCTCGGCACCAACGACGGCTGGCCCGTGCTCCTCGGCCTCGCCATCTGCCCGGCCATCCTGCAGCTCATCCTGTTGCCCTTCTGTCCCGAGTCGCCCAGGTACTGGTGCTCAAAGCTCCGAGCACCCCTTCGAACCCCACCCACTGCAACGACGCTCTTTCGCAGGTATTTACTTATTACGAAGAAGTGGGAGGAGGAGGCGCGCAAGGCTCTGCGCAAGCTGAGGGCGAACAACCAAGTGGAGGAGGACATCGAGGAGATGCGGGCGGAGGAGCTGGCCCAGCAAGCCGAGTCAACCATCTCCATGAGCGAGCTGCTATGTAGCCCCACGCTTAGGGCGCCCCTCATTATCGGCATCGTCATGCAGCTGTCGCAGCAGCTGTCCGGCATCAATGCCGTCAGTAGCAGTTGCCCGCCCTGTCCCATCAGCTACTCCTTCTTCTCTCTCTCTCTCTCACTAGCCACCCTTGCAGGTTTTCTATTACTCAACGAGCCTGTTTACGACCTCGGGTCTGCCGCCAGAAAGCGCCAAGTTCGCCACTATTGGCATCGGCATCATCATGGTCGGCATGACCCTAGTCTCCATTCCCCTGATGGACCGTACCGGCAGAAGGACCCTGCATCTATACGGCCTCGGCGGCATGTTTATCTTTTCCATATTCATCACTATTTCCTTCCTTATAAAGGTGAGTCTTTTGCATTTCGACCTCCCTACTTTCTCTACTAAACATTCTCCAACTACGTTCGCTGCGAGTCTCGCGTCAAACATTTACAATCGCGCCACTGCAATCTAAGTTTCGACGTTTCTCTCTTCGCGGATGGTCTTTCTAGTCACGATACTGGCGATTGCCTTGTACGCAGTGGCGCAACCCTATACAACTATCATATTCAACGTAAATCGATTGATTGAGCTTCGATCGTATACACGCTGCATTAGTATTTCCGCCGCGAAGGAATGTGTCGCTTTAACGATTGGTTGCTGTTTCTTAATCGTACTTGTAAAGTAATATCATGACATGCACTTTGGTGTGAAGTGCATCTAATCACTACTGTATCCTCAACTGGATCTCCTGCGTATATAACCACGCGTACATATAATGTTCTGCACTGACGGTGTATCAGAACGAAAATAATTAGCACATTAACGTTGTATCTGTATCTCATTACATCGCCAATCATGTTAAGTTAATCCTCAAACATTCATTTAGTAGTTAAGATTTTCCAAACTCCTATGAGTACACCGATAACACTGTCCTCCTCGTCGTTCTCGTTATTTTGACTATATTTTACTTATTTTTATATCGCGTCGTCGTGAGCGGGTATCTGTTGAACGATTCTATCAAGATAACCGCGACTACTTTCGACCAAAGCATTTCAGTCATTTTATTTATGGACTTGGAACGAACAATTTCAAGAGATCAAGTGATCATCGAAAGAGCTTTCATATTGATCTTCTTGTACGAGACGGTCTGTGCAGCTTTGTTGTCCTTGGTGGTAGCGTAAAGCAGCGTCACGTAAAGAACGAATCAAAATGAGAAATCAGCAGATACCCGAACAATCGTAACGATTTTCTATTTGATTTCCCCTCTTCAAAAGCTTCTCATTTCCCATTTCCATTTCTCCGCCACCCGTTCCTTCCCTCCCTTCCCCCTATCATCAGTATCTTTCCTGAACTATATGGAGGAGAGTCTAATCTACCATCGGCCATGTTGTACATTATCAGCTTCTGTTTCTGCTAGCTCAAACCTGTTAGTGCTGTTTCCATTTTCACGTACGCAGTCTCCGTACTATGTGTCGGTGTCGCGTAACAAAATATATTTGTCCTCATTTCTTTCTCGCCAGTTTCTGTTGTTACTAACAACTCGACAGCTTTCTTAGTGGTGGCTTTCGTATCGAATTGCTTGGAATCTAACTCTAACAATGCTTCAGTTCATTATAAGTGCCAAGTCAATGTTCGTTCTAGGAAACCAGCTCGCGTTTATACTTGATATAAGACTTTAATTAATGTGCAATTGCTTTTTATACTATTTATTCTGACTTTTCATTTTAACGAGTTTACAGATTTTTCTCAGACAATCTGTTTTAGTCAAGTTATTTTACATCCAGTGGCAAAACGAACATTTACTTTGTAGAATAGAACAATAAATTGTGTACATACAATGAGTTCAAGAACAACTGTGAAAATGTGACTATAGCAACGATTGCTATTATTTAAAACAAGCTAAACATTATTGCAAATACATTAAATATTTTGTTTGTAAAAAGAGGCACGCAGCGGTTCGTCAAATAACACAAAGTGTTTAACCGCGACAAACGCTAACCAATGCACTAATGGCTAATTAACTTTAATGCTTCATGCACATATTAATGCTGCAGTGGCGAATTAACGCCGTGCCAAGTGCAACAGCGAAAAGCTAAATGTAAATAAGACTATTTTTTATAATTACTGTAATGACGTCTCGTCTGAGTACTTTCCAAGATATAGACGTACATATATATATATATATATATATATATATATATATATATATATATATATATATGAGGAAATGAAGAAAAACAGGATTGAGCTGCATAAAGGCATGCGACTTGTGTTTGATTTACTTTGATCCAATAACGCTCCTGGAAAGGCTCCCCCGATAGCTCAGGAAAGAAGAACTTGATTCTACCGCCCTGATAGGAGTTCTTTGGTTACGTACAGGAAATGATAGACTGGATGTCGTACCTGTCGGTCGTTTCGATCTTGAGCTTCGTTGTGTTCTTTGCGGTGGGACCTGGCTCTATACCCTGGATGATCACGGCTGAGCTATTCTCTCAAGGTCCCAGGCCTGCTGCCATGTCCATTGCCGTGCTTGTCAATTGGCTGGCTAACTTCCTCGTCGGCATTTGCTTCCCGAGTATGAAGGTTAGTTTTTCTTGATTCTCACGGTTTTTTTATTTCAATTCACGTCGTGCTACATTCAGATTGATAATGTTATTTGATTATGATTGATTTTGCGAGTGTCAAGCTGCATGATTATAAAAATCCTCGACTATTTTACAGAACACCCTCGACAATTACACGTTCCTACCGTTCAGTGGATTCCTAGCGGTTTTCTGGATTTTTACATACAAGAAGGTGCCGGAAACCAAAAATAAGACCTTCGAAGAGATTTTAGCATTGTTTAGACATGGTAATGGCAGGTAAGGCAATCTTTCTAGTTCACAAGCGATATCGATTATTTTTTATACATTGGACATATATTTTGTTGCTAATAAACTGAGAAATTCGTTTTTTATTTTCTTTGACTTTTTATTTCCACTTATGTTTTGCTTCGATTATTTATTAGAAAATTTTTATTTTTAGATTAGATAGCAAAATTTTCATTTTTCTTTTTTTAGGTCTCAAGATATCCATATGCACAAATTATCTAAATGATTAGATCTTACCCACTTTTTATTTATTTTCTGGTTTATTTTCGTGCGTTAAACAAAACTTAATAGTTATGAACTTACCTTAAACGGCAGACGTATGTTTTCTTACTTTTGTAATACAGAAAATGGGAGAACCTCGTCCATGACTCCGTCGTGTCGTATGGTTCATGTTTCGTAGAAAGGAGTGCTTACTTATGACTACGATGCGACGATAGCAAACCAAAATAATTTGCATAGCACTGCTCAATTCAGAAATCACTATTACAAGCGTTCGAACTTGGTATTAGCCTAGAAGACTTTAAAAGGACCAGTTGAATCTCTTTACTTTTTCAATGTTTTGACACCTTTGTACATATTTTTTCAGAGCGACAAATGTCTGGCATTCGTGCCAGCGCATCAATTATTTTCGATAGCTCAAAAGTTTATTTGTTAATCAGTCGGTGCAAATATTTCCGACAAGTAGTTACAAAGACTAATTTTCGTATCGTCTTATTATTGAACTTATTCAAACTAAAAACGTTAATGTTGTCAAGACAGTCCTAATAAGGAATCTAAAATTGTGAAAACCTTAAAGAACTAAAAATTGTTAATTGATTAAAATCTGACTATTATCTATTATTTGTGTGTGTGTATTAGTGATAATTACGTTCCATAAAGTTTTTAATACTTTCATGATTTTAATTACGCTGTTGTTATTCATAGATTCATTTCCATTTCGTCTGCATCCGTGCAGGATATTTCTACATCTTATTGCGTGACAAGAGAGTGTGAATTTTTGGGGAAAAATATTAAATGCATATATTAACTCACTTTTGCTCGACTAGTTCATATTTCTTGCTTGTTCAGTTTTTAGAATAAAATTTAATCATTACAACTAACATTTTAGATCAAATTTACACGTTTCAAATAAGAAAAAAAGTAAATATTAGAAACAATTTTCAAAGAGTAAACAAGCTGACTAGCAAAATATACAGTGTGAATCACTTTATTTGAAACAAGTTTAAATTGATTATAGTATTATTCAATCCCCTTGATTATTAAATTTCCAATTTTCATAGTCATTGGCATCACACCAAACGTTTTGAAGTTGCATTATGTAGTATCCGTATGAAAGTTGTCTTGAAAATTATAAGCTGTATGAATTTTAGATTTTATATAGATTTCGTAAATACATGATATTTTCGAAATTCTTCACTTTTTATTTTCATAGTACGGAGTATTATTATTCTGTTGAATGCTATTACTATGTAACCATATTATTGTTAAGAGCCCGGATGCTGAGCAAAATCGTTAGTAGTTAATCAATTCGATATTATTTAATTAACAAAAAAAGTAGTGAAAAGCATTCTTATTAAAAAGTATGAATTTATTCAATTTACATTTTGCTTTTTTTGGCGTTACATACTTTGTAATTGAAACTTGTTACAGTTATAACTTTTTTATTATTAGTTGTGAGGATATAATGAAATTCAGCTTTGTTATGAAGTTATATCAATGGGCTGATGTTTTCACGTTAAAATTATTCATATTTTGATTTTTTCTTCGTATGTAATAATAAAAACTCAATTATATTTTCTAAAATTATGTAACGAATATTATTGAAATATATTGTTAATATTCGATTTCTTAGTCTAAATACAGAAATATATTTGTAATAATAAAATTTTGAAGAAATGTGATTATTATATCATATGGTAATTTAAAACCTCTCAATCAAAGTTGCACGATTGAATCACAGTTTTACAAAAAAATGCACTTAATGCACAATGCTTTTCACAAAATACAAACAGTTTAGATGAAGAAATAGTTTTTTCAAGTCCTGATAATTCACATGTTATACATCCGATTAAAAAATGCTAATCAAAAAGCTAAAGCACAAACAAGCTGTTAAATTATTTGAAAATTAATTTGTTGGCTATTGGTACATCATTGAAATTATTAAATGCACAGCTTTAACAAGAAGTTGGAAAAGATAATTTGTTCCTTTATTTAATTTTTATTTGTGACTGTGTTAAAACTATACTTTTTTGGTTCATTTATACACTATACAATGATATCACTGATGCGATTGATCTATAATCATTGTTTAATCACGCTTTGTGTGTTATTTTGGGTGCAGGAGCAGCTTACGAGACAGCAGACTGTACGGGTGAGTCAGCACACACGTTTTTACGTGTTATAATTTTTTTTCTGATTATTTATTCCTTACGTATATAAAATGTCAATATTTGTACATTTTATCGTACGTTAAAATGATATACTTGTACGCGTTTACATGCATGCTTTACAAATGTTTATCGCCAGTTCCTCGATAATTTTTGCTTACAGGATTATTTTTAAAGCACTTGTAAATATGCTTATAATTTAAAATATACGTCAGAAAAGAAAAAATTAAGAAAAAAAAGCAATCGGATGATTCTATTTTTGAAACTAATAACTTTAGCTAAATTTTTCAATTCTGTTAGCGGCAGAACAAAATGTTAGATATGAAATTTTGAAGAAGTAGAAAAAGAAAACGAAGCACGTTGCTAGTATGTAAAAATTAAAAAATTGATTAATTTGTGTAAAAAAGCGATTACAGAAAATCGCCTGGTAAATAATCCTGCACATCTAATGCAACTGTTGATTTTGAAAAGCTGAAAGTTATAACTGGCATGTTATGTTAGTTCTTTCACATTCGCGAATCTAATCACTCGACATTAGTTATTGCTTATCAGATATACTAGGAATTATTGGTTAGAAAACCATCACTCACGATTCATCCAAAAATAGAAGCATGGTTGATCCATTGCATTAGATAACAATCACGTATTTGCCGTACCTGTTATGGTATCATTTATGCTCTTTGCTTTATTAAGAAAATGTACAGTTCCGTCTATCGTCAATCGAAGCAATCATGCTGATATTGTTCTGATTGTAAGAACATCCTTTTTAAGATTCCTAATTGAATGTACGATTAAGCAAAACAATCATCGCAGAGGATTTGCCAGTTCAAACTAAATTTATTTGACTAAAAGTTGTAGACATTCTTTTCAGTGATTTTTTTAAAACACTAAGACCACGAACTGAGTTATGAGTTGAAAAGGATGTCGAATAAAAATTAGCCTCGTATACTTGCAATCAATGCTATAACTGTTCGCTCGCAGATCCTTACACATTGCTACAATCATTGCTCGAATATTAACGTAAGACAAATTTCCTTTTGACGGAAATTACATTTAACGAAACCTAATTGCCATAGTTCGATGTATATTAGGCTTTTATATGTTATTCAATTTTGCTAGTTTTTATATATTAAAATTACTTATCCACGGTCAATGATAAACACTTCAAAATCATTGCATAAATGTTTACGAAAGGGCGTTATTAGCACCACAGCAGGTCGGACTTATTCAGTAAACACGTAGACGCAATTTGGATGCAAAGAATTGGAGTACCATCTGCTCGACATTGCCACTTGAACAAATGATTATTTTCGAGAGGACAACGTACGTGTCGAGGACAATATGTGCCTTGAAAAAAAAAACAGCATCTAACGCCTCACAGTTCTTCCATAGTTATGATTTTTATTTATGAATCGTGTTACTCGAAAAGCGTATTTTTCTCGAATCCATTTCCATCAAATTGTGCAACATAAACGTGAATAAAGACTGAAGATTGAAGGGCTGTGTGCACTTGTGCGTTTATGTTAACTCTTTCTAGTTTTATGTCTTTTCTTCTAAAAAGACGTGTTTCGTGTCAATCACGTTGGCATGGAATTGATGGCATTGCTGTATGCTGTGCGAGAAATGCATGTTAGTGCTTTTAAACGTGCGTAACTTGTCGGCCTAGTTCCTCTTTTACGCGTGAACAAGTGCTACTTTCAATGAGTGCAAATGGATTTTCAATGAATTTATTTTTGCACAATAAAATATTTGAATAATTCTATTAGAACATAGTATGTCGAGAACAATGTATGTCTTGTCACTTCGTAGCTGGGAATTTATAGGATACATATCCACTTTCATAGTTTAGATTTGATATTTTAACTTGCTGTAAAAATATAAAAAATCCTATAAAGTCATGAAAAAAAAAATTTACTTTAGTTATCTATGGAAAGAATTGGGGTATAAGAATTACTGTTCAATGAAATTTTCGAACCTTGTTATAGTGTGTATTTTAAAAAAATACAAAATCGTTTACTATCAATTAAATCTTCAAAATACTTCAAGAAGAAAACGTATTACAGTAGTTTACCTTTCATTACTATAGTAGCTTACAGGATGTTGAAGGTTTTTATGGGAAAAAATGTACACTAAATGTAATGAAAAACTTAATTTTTATTTAATTTTTCAATATTAATAGGAACAATGGATTCAAATGAAGATTAGAAACTGAGTAGTGATTACGGTCAATTCACTAAACCAATAAAAACTTTTTAAATATCAATTAGGAAGCTGAAATCGTTCGCGGTAGAAATTGAAACCGTGTAAAAGCGTTTTGAAATGGAGAGAAGCTTAAAACATATGCACATGAAGGGAAAAAAACGTGGCGTGGTGTTTACAGGAGCATGCTAAACTGTGTGAATGCATTAGAAGGACACGTTCCACCGGCCGAGAGTGCAGCCTTGATGGTGGCTGAGGAAAAGCCACGTCCTGACACATGTAAGGCTCCAGCTTTCAATCATCCCAAATCTGTATTATTTGACATTATATCGTCTCGTCCGCTATCTTTTGAACGCGATCATTTGTACATACGTACGCTGTGTATCTTCAGTCATCATTTTCACGTTCATTGCATCTTTTCTTATCAATGTGACCATTCTTGTTTCGTTTATTCTATTTTTGCCACTTATATATTTTCTTTTGTCATTATGATTATCATGAGTTTTTAAGTTGAATGAAATATGCACAGAACCATAAAATTTTTCAAACTCATCTAATTAATTATTATCATCATTCGCTAGCTGCATGACATTAATATTATCAGTTCTGTATGTGAATTCGTTAATACGTAGTTTGTTTTTGTAAGATTATTTTCTTGCGTTAGCAGTCCTTTCATCTACGTTTGAAAATAATACAAAGTAGATACATGTATAATAATTATTTCTAATTTTGACGACTTGAGAGATTGATATCCGTTTCATGATAAATAAAACAAAGCTTATCAATTATATCATATGAATTGTTAATATCGCGTGTACCGAGTTATCAGGTACATTGGTTTTTGTAATGTGTTATATCTGCAATTTAATAGAGAACCCTTTTTATTTTTAGTGTTGTATGATTTGTATAATATTTATCGGTAATAGAGAGTTTCTAGACGCTTCTTTTTTATATTTTCTATATCATACGCATACATCATTTTCATTGTTTAGTCATGCTTTCAAACATTCGTCATATAATGTCATTCTGCTGAAAAACAATATAATTTCATTCATACGAAAAGATAAGATTTCATAACATGATGTTTTTCATGGAAGAGAAAAAATAGTTTTGAAGAAATGAAAAACATCAAAAATAGTTATAGCTTACCCAAACATTTCACATTCATTGTATCATTATCGTATCTATTGGAAGTCGCCCGTCGTGTCCTACACATAAAACATCGCACATACAACCATGCCAAGTGTAATGTACACCAACGTGACAAGTGTACAACATTTCGCCGACTCGCGAGCAGCCACGTCCGAACGTGCACGTCTTGTTCCACTGTAAAAGAGAGCGCAGGCCGAATCCCCGGAACGAAGAACACGACGCCACGTGATAGGAAAGCGATCAAACGATCGGCAAAATGAGGCAGAGAGGTTGGGAAACGTAACGCCAAGCTGCCTATCGTTCTGCCAGAATTATTCAAAGACAGATATCACGACGAGTGCGGTCGAGAAGTTTGCGATGGTAAAGTGTGAGCCAATTGAATATTTTCAGGGCAAACCACGCTCACGCGTGGCCCATTTTTCTTCTCCGTTCACTGAGTAACACTCACGACCAGGTCCACTCTCTGTTACGGCCTAGTGATCGGATTCACTTTTTCTCAAAACGCTACACCTTTTTACATTTGTACACTACTAAAATTCACCGAACACCTTGCATCTGTAATTCACAGTTTGTTCATAGTGATGGGCGATCGCGCGAATCAATACTACACAACACAGGTCTACGATGAATAGATCGAGGATATGCATAAAACTGTAGTCAATCGTTGCACCAAAACTAATTGTAGCTCCAAAATAATACGTCTTTCTCTCTTACGCCGCGTAAAATGACGTTCAAGTAGATTTGAAGGATGTGTTGCAAAGATGTAGCCGCGGCAGTGTGGTCAACGTTGCCCTGTAATATAATATAATGCATGCGCTGCTGCACGTTTGCATGCGGAGTTTCAGTAGCTGAACGAGTCTGCTGTACCTATTGCGCGAGCTTGTGCCCCAGTTGTGTTGCGCGTAGACGAGAGCTCTTAGGTGTAGTAAGCTGGATTAATGTAGCATTGTTGGAGACGGAGAATGAGCATGCGCGAAACCAGTTACCGCGCGGCACTCCCGCCGATTTGGCGAGCTCGACAATGAGTGGTGGCGCGCAAGCACGCACGAGGTAGCTGGTCTCGCGGCGGAGGAGCGCCGAGTTGGCAGACTAAGCGAGAGACGCCGGTTGGCGGGGCGTTCTGTTGTTGTGTTGCAGTTGTGTTTGCAGGTGGGTCCGAACGCTGTTCCGTAAGCGGCGCTCGTCCCGCTCCACCGGAGAGGCTACCGCCCCCGCTTCCCCCGCCACGCTTTCCGAACAACGCTGTCTGACACTGGGGAGCTCGTTCTCTTAATGCCGTCGGCCAGGCCCGGCGCCTCGCGCGGGGCCTCGAGGCCCGACTGGCCCGGCTGCTGGCTGAGCGCGCCCACGCCTGCGCTGCCGTCCTTCGCGAGGTGGCCGTCGCCCGCAAGCACCGGCGAGCAGCACTCCTCGCCACCTGAGCGAGCGCCGCTGCAAAGACTGAGCATCCACTTGTACTACCCTGCGTCGTTCGTTCGTTCGTTCGTTCGTTCGTTCGTTCGCTCGCTCGCTCGCTCGTTGATTGCCTTCTCTTCGCCCCGAGTCCGCGCTAAGCTTCTATTGGCCCACCCATCAGAGGGAGCCTCTCAAAGCAATACGTATTATATACACATGCGTGTATGCATACGACCTATGCGACCGACCGACCACCAATCGACTTGAGCAAACCAACGCAGCTGCGGTTCACGTTGCCTCCTAGAGCTTAGGTCCGCGCTGCCAGCAACGAGTCGCGAGAAACGATAACGGACATTCCGAGCGCTACATAGTTTATCAGTGCCTACTGTGCCCAATTTTATTAGAATAATAATCGAAACTCTATGTCGTGTCGCTGCTGCAATTCCAACCGCTCGTCACAGCAGCATCTCATCTAATTCTTAGGGACAATTTTATTCGAGATCGCACGCGTCGTTGCACGAGCGTCATACGAGGCAACAATCGACCGACAGCAACAAATGATGAGCCAAGTTTGCCGCATGAGAACAGTTACAAGTGATGATTTTGATCAGTGATGTATAACCATTACACGTATATCTACATCAACGGTAAGAGACGACTCTGCGGAGGACGACTTTTTGTATAAATCAGTATTACAGCGCAACGATCTCATGTGATTCGCGCATTATTATAACCTATTGTAGTTAGCTGTCGCAGCAAATCGCGAAGCAGGTCTATGACCATGTCGATCGACATACGCGATAGAATAAGGACACGAAGTAACGGAAGCTTTCCAATGCACCTATTTACTTATTAATTTTGCTCTTTTGCTTCCCTCACATTTTGTACGTGTTGTCCTATTCTAAGATTACGTTACGATGCGTCAACAGTTTTCAATAAACGCGCAAAATTATGTAAATCAACTGCCAATTTTAACTTGTAGCTTTGTTGTAGCGATTCCAGATTGCTTCAGTAATGATTTACGACGAAACGCTCGATAAATCATCGAGGTTCGACTGAATGCGATGCGCGTCGAAGATTTTTAAAAAATGTTAACTAGAATTTTTAATTGAGCCACATACAGAACATAATTTTACCAAAGCCAATGCATTTCTTACGTTTTTAATATATTTATATGAAAAAAGAGACAAATTACCCACGCATTTGATAACATTTCGTCAATGCGAATTAGAATTAAAAATGTGATGAATAGTGCGCTACTTAAGGAACCCAAATTTTTTACAAAAAAAGCCAATGAGGACAATTTTTTAAAATTTTAATATGATGATAGCTCGTATAAGACTCGTTCAATAATTATTTTTACGGACTGAAATTGATACACAAATAATTATATGATATACGGATCAGGTGGATGGGGAAATCTTGGAAAAATTTATAAATTTATCGATCACTTGTTACAAAAAATTTAACAATTTAGTAGATCCTTGATCGTTTATCCAAGTGAATCTTGGAAACCCTTCCTCTATATGTAAATACTCATGTATATACGTTTAAAATCTTCGATTCTACGTATATAGGGAGTGACCATTCAAGATTAAGCGATTCATTTTAAAAATGAATCAGAAATTCAACGTGAAACGTTTCTTTTCCAAAAGTATTTACGTTTTAGAATGATAGAAATAATCACATTACCGATATATAAAGGCTCACTTCGTACTTAATCCACTCCGCAGACGAATCGAGTTTAACCGGTTATCTATCTAAAAATATATAATTATCGATTAATTTTTCATCACAGAATACGAGTCGATATTCAATTAGCGTACAATTAAAAATACTTGGTAATAAAACCAACTGGAATTTCAAATAAACGTTTATACGATAAAAAAGACTTAAAAATATCGATCGAAAAATGTCTTGCATGCGCACAACTTTTTTTCTTGCACGGTCTTTTCGAAGATCAATAAAACAAAAAAAAACTACACAACAAGTCAGGGAAGGTTCTACGAAGGCTCAATAAAAGCGGTGCGGTATGATGTAAAAGCCCGCTCACTTGAGTATTGTACTCCTTTGCGCGGAGTTAATAATAAGTAACATTTTCACTTTAAATCGTCTCGTCAAACACTAAAATGTTTGTAATTTTAAGAATCGCAAAATAATTAAGCTATAACTAATGAAAAGTTGACTTCAGATGCCGTTCAAGCTACACTTAATAGGCCTAAATATCGATTTCCAAGTAAATTTATTTACTCGTCGACTTACTTTCAAGGTACAACTTGAGCTGTTCAATGCAAATGCTGATAAATTATACGACTTTGGAAATTAGAAAAAAAGATATTTTGTGTAAGAAAATGCCATAGCACGCGAAGGAAAAATATTTTCATTAGCGTGTTACTGCAGCCAGGTGATAATCGTCGAGGTGCTGAAAGAAAACGCTTTTGTTTTTGTAAGGCACTTAAAAGTGTTAAAAATGGACTGTTTTCGCAAGAATTTAGCAGAGGAAAATGAAAACATAAGTTGTGAAAAAGAAAACTCAAGTGGCTACTTGCAATATCGATGATCATATAATAATAGTAAAATTGTGCGGCGCTCTACCCATTTCGCGAGAATACACATAGAACAGTGAGAGACAGTCGGCTATTGAAAAGGCAGTGGATAGCTTTCGCGAGTCAGAGAGAGAGAGAGAGAGAGAGAGAGAGAGGGAGAGAGCGGATGATTCTAAAAAATGGAACGCAGGAGAAAGACAAGGGTGAGAACAAAGGAGCAGGGCAAAAGAAAAGGCTTGGAAGAATAGCGATTTCTCGTTTATGTAATGGTCGCGTGATAATCGCGACGAGAGATGTCTTCGCTCGCGAAGCCAGTTCGCAAATCCATTTTTTAATTAATCCTGCTGGGATGCGAGTCGAATGTTCCGGTATCGACTATTGACGCAGGCCGCTTGTATTCCAATTTAAAACTTAGCCAAATAAATAATCATCTATAAAACTCGGACAGTAAGCGTAAAAATTAGACGTTTGATTAAGAGCACGTGCTGAAATGAGCACTGCTGATATTCCTCTATCTCTATACCTACCAAAACGCTCCGCATTCTATATACGCCAGCAGATAAGCTGCGAACTCCTTCTTTCTATCCTCTATACGCGCTTCTTCTGCTTTCTTGCAAAATCACGGCACCAATGTAAACACCTATGTAGGGCTAAGTGCAAACGGTTCGCGCCATCGATGGAACCATTTTTCACCTCCAAATTCCTTTCACTTCCAAGGCTTATCGAATTAACTTGTCAAGCCTACGTAAAGTATAACAATGAAGCTTCAAGCTAACGTTTTTATAATCTTCGTTATGCAAAGGCTTTCGTTCGATTTATCACAAGTCCCGCCGCGAGTAACACTATTTCCGAGATAAGTTCACTGCCACTGACCGGTCGACGACGGTGCTCCTTCCGACTGGTATTCACACGCGATCAGTATTATGCAAAATGACAAGTGGAATGAAACCGTGAACGGACAAGAAAAACAGAAAATTACGCTGATGTACAGTGATCCGAAATACTTATCTATACAACGTAATGTAAGAGTTATAGTATGTACTTAGGAAGGTGATAAGACAGAGAAGAGATATAGCGAACGCGAAAATGCGATAAAAGTGACGGACTAGAGATGTAGTCTTTAAGCGCTAACGGTTAGGCACTGCATCGATATGAAAAAACACGGATATGTTATAAATATATACATATATACATATAGTTATACTAAGAGTTAGGCTGAGAATAAGGAACAAGGATGAAGTAATAATAATGGACTTGCGGAGCCTGTCTGTAATATAAAACAAAACAAATAAACTATGTACGTATCTGGATTTCTTCAGAGACAAAATAACTCTAAGGATCTACGCTCTCAAATATATGTGTAGTGATTCTATATAGAACTATGATTGAAAGCGCAACGACGAACATTACATAGAATTTGCATGCGGCCGGCACAGAGGGAAACATGGCATTTAACAGAAAATCTTTGTTCGCAACCTTCCTTCGGCCCACAATAATCTACTACACACGAGCAAACACACACGAGCGTACACGCTCGATATTATCTATCTCTCTTCCAACAAGGAGCCATTTTAAACGCAAACGTGCGATTCTTCACTGTTGATATTAACTTTACTATATTGTTTTAGTCAAGATATAAAAAAGAGATATATATATATATATAATATTTTAAACGTGACAACATTATGATGCATATAAGTTGGATGTAACGTAAAAGCGAACGAACTAAACATTTTTCTCAAGATAACAATTTCGGTACGTGGTCGATTTTTCATGCATTTGTATCATACATCAAGGCGCTGAAAGCATTGTTGTCCAATCACATATTATGCGACCAATACCTATACAGCCAATTCCACAGGAAAAATACATTTATTTTTTTTTTTTGCCGGCTCCGTTTAAACTTATCTATTTTATCGCTGCCTGTCTATATTTTTCGATTACAAATTCATTTAGCTTTTCACCAATTTTTAACAACTTGTTACAGCAGTTTTTGTCCGTAAAAAAGCTGATGAAAGACTTATTTTTATAGATCCCTTATAATTTGTTGAAATCTATCAAAAATGAAATAATCACCGTTCACCAATAATCTAACTTATAATTCGAATTATACGGGACGAAATACAACAAATGACAGAAGACACATTTACTTTTAGTTCAAAATTTTCATCCTTGTAAAGCTTTGGAAATATAAACTCTGCGTAAACGTGTCAATTTTGCAGTTTCATTGTAGCAATGAGTTTTTTATCCAGTTCTGCAGTTTTCAAAGCTCTGTGAGGTTCCAAATTTTGTGCATATAAAATAAGCAAAGATATGGTTCTCGACGTTTTCTGTCTGACCAATTCCGAATTTGAAGTAAAATGTACGTTTTCGCTTTTCATTTTTTATTCAATTCAAAACGACCACGAAAATTCGTGAGCTTTCTACGACCCATGTTCGGTCAAAAATAAGGGCAAAAAAAGCTCACCACAAGAATGCGCGGCGAGATACATAAGATTTTTGGATTCTATTAATAGCATCCAGACTGGTATGATCGATAAATTGGGAGCGTGTAGTGAGTTTGAAAATTTGGCAAAACCGTGTCGAAGGGAAGCATTTGCTGTGGAATTGGTAGCATATTAGATTGCACGAGAATTTTTCGATTGACAAAACAAAAATACTCATGCGGCGAATGTAAGACCGATAGAACAAATGGCTATAATAAACATCAAACCGGAAGACTAGTAGCAGTCACTTATTAATATGTATTACGTACGACGACACAACGGAAAATAAGAAAAACACATTTAAAAAATGCTTATAAATAAAAACGGTCGAATAAACACTCGATATAGAAAATCAATTATGTACAGTACGTATGATTACGAATTCGTATCGATAAGATTTGAAAGAAAAACAAAGAACGTATAACGGAAAAGAATTTTCATGCGCGTTTCTTATTATATTGGTTCGCGAATTGTTGCATCCTCTCGAAAGCAGCGACACCGACCCTTTAGCGTACTAAAGGCCACATTGCCAAACGATGTTCAATCTCTGCAGTGAAAATGCCGACTTTTCGGGACTTTGTTCAATGTTGAATTTGAATTATGCTATATCATTGTTAATGATAATACATTCTGTATCAAGTTTGTACTATGTAATTGTAGTTTATTGGCGCGTAGATTGAAACGCATCAGAGATAAATGATTCTCTGTATAAGAGCTTTTATATAGTTTTGAGCTTAAAGAGAAATTCGCATTTGTCTATTTCATGGGCATCATAGAAACGGCTCTGTCTATTCTATCAGTGGAAAAAGTTACGACCTGCAAATAAAATCATGAGTTGTATTGTCAAATAACTCGAGTATAAAATTGCACATTGTTTTTGGAGGAATGAAAATAGAATGGCAAAAAAGAGTGAGGTGGAGATTGAAATTCGTTGGGTGAGTAATAGTGGTGAATGTGGCAGCGCAATATTCCCGAAAGGTGTACGCTACGCGAAGAGTGGAAAGCAAAGAAATGAAGCTCGCGACCTCAAATGAAAGAAAACGGGCTCGCCTGTCCATGCTATCTGTAGATAAACGTATATGCATAAACATAAACGATTACGTTCATTAAATTATAAAAATAAACTGTCCAATTGTGTTTTGCGCTACGTTGTTGTTCCCTCGACGTCTCTAATATCGATTTTCCCTGTGAACGCATCAAGAGTATTGTTAACGCGACAAGAGAGCGAGAATAAGCCCCATGTAGATTGATATAAGACACAATTATAACAAACACAGCGTTGCAATAGTTTCCGCATTTTTATCATGTGAATAGGTGCAATAATTCATAGCTTCACATAATTTTCCAATAATCAAATTGATTCTTCTTTTATTAGACGGTCGCGTACTTTTCACAGTCGCATGAGTGACAACGTTTTATTATCAACAGGTGAAAACGACACACAGGACGGACGTTCAATTCCTACTAAGCAGTTATTTTTGTATTATCGATTATCCATACCAAGACAAAAGTAAAAAAAAAGGAAAAAACGAGTACTCTTAAATATTCAAAATAAGCAACTAACGTCCACTCGATTTTTCACGTCGGACCCGCGCAGTTTCGACTACATTATTTTACACGAAAGCTGCTCGGGATCGATTTGAATTTCGGAGCAGACTACATGAGGGTGTATTTTTATTAAATTATAGAACAAACCAAACTACTCGTCGGTTATAATCTCTTGAAAAATTACGATTGCACGATTACAATCTTCAATAAATTCATTCGAATAGTACATTTAAGCTATTGTGTTGTAGTTATGGTAACGACAGTAATTAGACAGCCTTTGCCAAACATAAATCTTACGTTCGTTAGCTTACATTTCATTCAATTTACGACGATGGCGATAACGAATGATGAATGTGAATATACCAGTTTCGCATAGACCAACGTAATCGGAGAAAATCTTACAAAACCAAAAACTCGAGCATGCGAGAGAATTTCTATGTTGATCGATACGCGTTTACCTGCACAGTTCGCCACTAAATGGTAATGAGAATCTTGTTGCATTTTTCCAACTTACTGCAATCGTTTGCCGACCGAACGACGCTCAACTGTTTCTCTTTGTCATTTAACTTTGTACTATTATCATTTTTTGTTATTTATTGAATAAATATACAGTGATTAATAACTGTAAAATGCATTATTATTATATCTCTATCCTAATTTCTGCACTTCCTATTACTGTAAATACTTTTCATTTAATCAAAATATTCAAATTTTAATAAGAACAAGTTCCATTTCAATACACTAAATTTATTTTCATTGCAATATGTACATCCACAAAAGTGTTTGAAATTCAAGTGTTCACTTTTTACGCAGTCTTATCGCACTTTATGCTATTCACGGTTTACATTCAAAATGATATGGATCCAATGATTTTGGATCTCGCCACGTTGGAGGCAAAGCAGTATGCAGATGCAGACCACACCGTTTGCAAGGATCGCTAAATAACGTAATGAAACTGTGAAACCAAGCCTGTGAAAACATAAAAAAGTTTTCTCGTACGTTTTTGTATATTCCAATGTATATCAGTAAATAATTTGTGATTCTTACAAAGAAGCTCTTCAAAGTCATTTCTGGAAAATTAGTATTATAAAAATGAAGCATTGCTGAGTGAGCATGATCTGTTACACGCTGAAAAACTTTATACCTAGATTCTGTCCATAAATCGAGTTGCTCATTGTATCCCTTAACAACTACTCTTTCTATCATCAGTCCTTTAAACGCTATTATAGCTTTCAAGACATGGCCTAATGTTACGTGGATAACTGCATTAGATGTGTAAGGCCTTGTAATTGTAATAGGCATGTCAGTGTAAATACGATCAAATGAGGAAATCACTTGGTCAACCTGTCTGTAAGTGATAAATCAAGATTAAACTATTTTCATTGGCAGCTAAAAAAATAAATTTTTATTTTAACATATTAAATATCCTTACGGAGGAGTATAGTTGTGAGCTCCAGGTTGTACTCTACTTCTTTTTGCTCTATTCAATGGTACAGATGAACGTTTGAGTAAATTTTGACTCAAAATTTGATGAGCTACATGGCTATACTCATGGACTTTGTCTGTCCATTTATATGCATTTACTAATGTACCATACAAAGCTTGACGCTCTTGTGTAGTTTCTTGACAAAGGAATTGAGTATTTCCTAAATTAAAAGGTCCAGGAGCTGGACTCAAAGAATTGACAGCTTGCTCAACATCTCTGTCAAATATAAATCTTTAGTGTAATTAAACGAAATACTTAGACGAACTATTGCTTTAAACTATTGCTTTATATCAATATTCAATAACTATATCAAGTTCAATATTTTGAACTAAAAAATACATTTATAACAAGTAAATTTTATAAATAGTAATATCGGAGGTTATGTATGTGATTGAATAAATAACAATCGGCAGAACTAGAATATTAGACAATCAGAAACACAATAAGTAGGAAAACATACCTCAAATTAGTACCAACAGTCGTCAAAAGTTCTTGTAATTCTAATAGGTATTTATTTTCTTTATTTTCTTCTCCATGATCAGCTCTGATACCATCAGCAAGGCAGTAAAACACTTGTCCTACACTAGAGCGTAATACTTTTAAAGCGGATAATGCCGTTTGCAATGGCTCCATTTTTATCATTTAATATTAATAATCTTCCGAGACCAGGCGAATAATGAAATTGAAATTAAAAATAATAAACGTAAACGCAAGTCAACGATCAAACGTTACACTCTTTTAATATTGACGGTCACTTCTGCTTTGACAGTTGACACGGTTAGGGAATAAGACCCCTGGTGACCCTGCGGTGGCTTTAACTGAAAGACGATGTCATTCGCAAGTGTAATTTTTATTATTTATCTTTAGACTAACGGGATTTGAACCTTCAAACTGCCCTTTACAAGTGGCCAAATTAGTGCCTCGTATCATTATCAACTATATACAAAGTTCATGTCAGAGGGTACGTCTATATATAGACTTTCCGGCAGTCTAAAGGTTAACGTATGTACATTGCGGTCTTTCTCGAGAAGCATTCGGAAAATTTAACTATAGAATGTAATGTAGTTACTTCTACAAAAAGAGTGGCAAGGAACCTTATATACCTAGGGTGGTAATTTGAATAATGAACCTATAGCGTAACCCAGATAATACAGCGTCCCGGCACAGTTTGACACGTGCGTGCCGTCATAATGCAGGCATAGTGCGAGCACGAAAAGCTACGCACGCCGTGCCATCAGAATGCAGGCATAATGAGAACTGCGAAGATAGCCTCCGGGTTTTCATGGGACATTGTTAACCAAAAAAGGAAAACGGAATTAATTGCTCTAATTGTCCCTGATGTACGTGGTAATTTCCCATTTACGATTAATCAACGGAAAATAGGGGAAAATCGCATTTTCCATTTATCTACTCACTAGCTGATTTCTCCAGAATTTATTATTCGATTTTTACGGTTCAGATCTTAAAATTAAGATTATAATTTTCCACGCCATCCCCTGTATTTACATTAATGCTAAATATTATTAATTTTAAATAAAAATTTATAATAACATTGATGCCCCGAGTGGCGGGAAACCTTTTTCATTCCGTAGTTCTACGTTTCGTGGACCAAGAAGCAGAGAGTATTACATCAATGAGTTAGAATTATACACGGCGCATAGACTTTAGTCGGTTTGAATCTAGAGCTACATTTTTTAAGACTTGTGAATCTGACGCCCAAAAAAATTTTTTAATCATATTTTTGAGTTTTCATGAGCTAAAACGTTCTCTCCCTTTTTCCGGATTATGTCTCCGCTTGAAATTTTATTTCCGGATTTTCCGTTTTTAAAAAAATCGGGCGTTCGTACAGCGCGCAAAATGCATTAAACATTTTTCTCCCGTTTAAAAAGAAATAATATTGATAACGGATGATAGCTCCTTATTCCCGGATTACGAAACAATTTTCCTTTTGTCGATTTTCTATCCAAAATTGAGGAAAATGTAAAAATTAGTAATATGCGGCAGTTAGTCGATAAAACAGGTCAAACGTTTGCTAATCATACCACGCGTATGAGGCAGATGTTACCGGCCGTCAAGCCTCACTGACGAGTACAGTCGGTAGCATAGATATTCACTTACATAAACATTGATTGACACCGAGCAATCAACTCCACTGACACTTTCAGTGATCCTTTGTTAGGAAATCTAGGTTGCTGTTATCACCTGTGCACTCGGGATTAATACAATCATGGCACAATCCTGCACGAGGATAACTGCTAGGAGACAAAATCAGCTACGTAACCTCCCGCAAGAGCACGAAGAATTCTTCACCTCAAACCTAAGAAACGTGATAACCGTAATGGAGAGAACCAAACTCAGGATTGGAAGAAATGAATATAACGCGGTTGGAAATAAGTTCGCAAAAGATACAGTGAAATATTTTGTAGCTAATGAGAATCTAATACTTTCTGAAGATGCTGTAGCCGTCCTATGCGTATTAGCATTAGGACCGATTTACATAGTGAATGATCCAACCACCTACAACTCCAACTTTTACTTAGTGGCAATTATCTCGATCTTAAAAATATTTGCAAGTGATTCTGACTTTGTGAATGTGGGTTAGAGAGATCCTGTAAAGAGTATGGCATTATACTCAAGTAACATGAACTCCCCACACTGGAGGCTCTGTCTCAAGCAGCAGACAGAGTTTAACCAGCATTAAAAGACAGGATGGGCTTGACATGAGACAAATATGTCTCTTACCCAGAGCTGGTAACAACATCATTAAGCATGCTCTTATTGATTGCAAAATCATTAACTGATGTATCACGTGTCCATTGGTTCCGATGTAAGTGGAATAGAATATCCCACACCTTGAATAAAAAATTTGCTCCAGAGCAAATTACAACACCTCTTCTGGACGTTTACAAAGGGATTAACAATTCCATTAGCTCAAAGCACCAAATAAGGACAAGCATATTTAGAGCCATGAGAGCCCAGGGCACTAAGAAAAGTGGCAAATACAGAAATATATTTAATATGCTCTGCAAGCAACTTCAATACGCTGAAATGACGTATATCTACATGATCATGATGTTTATTTATGGCCTTCATCCAGATGTATTAGCTTTCCCGGAGTTCGTAGAAGCTGAGCGTTTCAAGATGAGTTATGCACTGACAGTGTTAAACACAATTCCAGAAGAAGACCGTCCGTTCATTAAATTACTGTATCCACCCAGTGACTGAAGCACTCCATTCCAAGCACTTTACCCTATATTCGACTGCAGCTAAGGCGATTGCTTCAGTCTTTGATCCAAGTATGAAGAACTATACCATAAAGGATAATGCTGGACTGACTGACTTTGCCAATCAAGTCAAGGATCATGTAAGGAGGAAGTCAGGAGTAGGAGGCCTCAATGCTGCATAAGGTGGAATCAGAACCACCGTAGCCACGATGTTAATCTTGGCACAAACACTTCTTGAAAAAAATTCATAGGTATCTGTCAGGAATCAAACCCCAGACTCTTGCATAGGAGACAGATATTCTAGTACAGTAAGCCACCGTGGCTCTTCCTGGCGGTCCTGGCAATTACTTTGATGTACTGCCAATAGAAGTTTAGGGCAAGTTTAAAATGAATAAAAAAGTACTAATATTTATTTAAATGTAACTCAAAATAATTCTTTTATAAGAATTTTTGTAAAGATAAAATCATTATTAAAAATAATAGAACTAAGCAATAATTATAATTCAACATGTAAGTTTTTAATAAATTTATTTAACAACGTTTTCTATAATTTATTGCATTGATTCTATGCACAATATTTGTTTGCATTGGATCATTATAACCAAAATCGTGTATCGAGTAAATATATTTTAGTTTAGTAACTTATATCTAGTCTAAAATTATTATAACACCAAAAAATATGTAATATAAGAGTATTATGGAGTAATATACGCGATATAAACGTAAAATTACAAAGAATTTTCAAACGCTTTGATGATGATACACATAGATAAATGATTAAAGTAGTGACAAACCTGACAAATTCAAAGTACTTTTTATTATATTCTATGAATTACTAAATTGTACATACATACATAGAGATCTTATATTACTATTCATAATTATTCACTGACAATCAAAAGAAAAACTGAATTTTTATTTTCATCTACAAAAGTATATTTTCTATATTGTCAGGTATTATTCTATCTATGTAAGGTCGTACAATATTTTACATTTCTTTCTAATATAATTCATACGAATAAACAATGCGTACGTAGATTTTGCATTACAAATTCTAATTTCAATTTACCTTATCACACTGAGAATGTAACATATATTTATTAAAATTGTTGCTTCTATGAGTGAAATTATATATATTTTTTTAAATAATGAACAACAATAAACTAAAATACTTACGTGTGAAAATAAAATGATTCGAGTGCGTGCATTGAATATAGTAATAATAAACATTTTCTTTTGTCAAGTTCATCAATATTACTGTTGTAATTCCTAATTCAGCACTGTAATAATAACATGGGCCATGAACAATCATGGAAGCGTAATAATATAATAGTTATTCTTTGAAATAGCTAATGGAAAATCAAAATCTTTTGAATTATCATTATTTTTGATATTAGTTTTATAATGGCTTTACATTATCTTTTTATCTGCAAAAACAAAATGGGTATTTACTTTGCTTTTTTTACGCATGTGTACTTGTATCTTATGAACACGAAAATATTTCGTATTTATTCCTATTTAGTCAGCAGAAAGTATTTTCCCGAGATATAAAGCTGATATTTTAATTTCACTGAATATTATATCTAAAATTAAAGTATACAAAATGTTGTATATATATGTATATAGGCCATTTTTTAATAGACTTGCTGCATCTATGATTTCTACCATGAAAAGTTTTATTTTTGTTTCTATAATATGTATCAATATAGCATGATAATTGGTGTATTATTCTTACGAAAACTGTTTTTATTCAAAAGTTTAATGGACCTTTCCGCTACCAAACTATTATTATTAATGTAATTTTAATTTTTTTAATACAATCTATATCGTTACCATTTGTACAACATATTCTTATCAACTTCACTCGTTAATGGCTCAGCAATTTTTTCATAATTAAAAAATTTATTGGAAATCTTGATATATTTTAACGTTTAAATTTTTATAAAAACTAGAAAGTTACAGTCTAAATATAATAGATATCTAATTAAGAATCAATTTTCATTTTTAAAAATCATTAAAGATTTGGTGTTGCATTGACCTATATGGTATTCGTGATAAAGAAATTATCATGATAGTTTATTTCTAAATAATTAGGTTTTTTTGGTTGTTATTGTACGAATATTTTAAAAACTTAAGTTTGCATTTATTTTGTTCCAAACATAAATGAGTCATTTGTGTATTCTTAAACATTTCTGTTTAAGAACAAGTATTTTTTTATATTTTAATCGAGGCAATACCAATGAATAGTCATTAAAAATTACTAAAAAAAAAAGTATCGTGAGTCGAAAAGAATTTTATTTAATCAACTCCATTTTAGTTCCTTCTTTTGTTTAGAACAACAGTTGCATCAGCCACATGATTTAATTCTTAACAACTACCTGAGTAATTGAAAAAAGTAAAAATATATATTGTTGATGCACAATAAAACTTGGCGAAATATATCTGCAGTGAGACATTGATTTGAATTGCACCTTGACGCGAATTTACATCATTCGTATTTATATAAATTAGATTTTTCCATGATATTTATATCTGTAAAAAGTTCCTTTAACGAAGGATAAACACGGGATTGCGTGTATAATAATAACAAGAATCGATCGCATATACAGAAATACATTTTACAATCAAACAGTCTCGTGGAGTAGGAAGGTACAAGAGTCTTGCGAAGGACAGATAGTAAAACCGCATGCTATCTCAGCCTCACAAGTTCATTCATATTTCTTGTTTTTCTTCAAACATTATATACAATTCATATTCGTTCAATGATCTTATTCACTTCCGTAAGTTCGCGTTACAAATTGGTGAAAAAACGCTGTTCGAAGTTTAAGTGTCTATTGTTTTCGCAGTTTTTAAAAAGTTTATCATAGCGAATCATCCACGTACGTATTTATTATGCTGTCTATTATGACTCTCCAAAAGTATGATAACATCATTTGTCCCACCAAGTCTACTAACTTCTCCCCAAGTTTTTTAAAGATTTTTTAAGAATATTTAATGACCAATGCCAAATTCCTTGGCATCATCTTCAGTGATATCACCGTATTGCCAGATATTAAGATGCTTTTCTCTTGCTTCCTTTTCAGCTTTCCTGTATTCTTCCCGCTAGAATAAAAGAAAAAGAAGATTCTGAATAATATTGTTCACATAATGACTCAAAAGTAATAATTATGAGATTAGTAACGAACCAGTTGTTTATGTTTACGGTCTTTTCCCGAATAACATAGTAAATAGCCCTCAGCAACAAGAGCTTTAACAATATCTTCCTTAGTTGTAGGATCAGCTAATGTAATGATTGGAGCTCCGACGTTTCTATGTTCCACATTCAATAGTAAAGTGTTCCCATGAAGAGTGTCCTCCCTGAGAATTTGCATGGCAGTTTTTTTATCGTCCTCCTGAATACATAAAAAATAATATTATGTAAACAACCAGTTGTACGGGTAATAAACTTTTTTAAATGAGAAACACTAACGTCTTTAGGTAACGTAACGATTGCCAAGATATTTTCCGTAGCAAATGGTTTATCCGCAGTGAAACCAGCTGGCACAGCAGCAACCCTGGTTACATCGAGAACTTCTCGATTTCCGTAGTCAATGTAAAAGACCGACACGTTAGGACCAGCAACCTTTTCGATCTTAACGCGGTACCATTCGTTGTCCACTGTAAATTTGGCAATAGCCAGGTCACCCTTTTTCGGAGTGTAAGCTCCAGCCAAGGGAGGATTGGTCTCGATTTCTTGGCGTAAGCGTGCCAAAAGGCCCTCAAGAGTTGCCTTCTGGTCGACCCTTTGTGTGTAGACGTGTAGTTCGTCAGTGATTTCCGACACTACGATTTCCTGGTAATCAATCTTACGCTCAGCAGGCGCACGCTCGGTTTCCTCGCGTTTTTCTTCTGGCTCCACCTCGATCTCTACACGATTCTTCCAGATCTGTAACAAATAAATGGAATCAGTCCAATCTTCGTAAAATTTATCTGATATACATGTTTTTCCAATATTTATTGAACTTACGTTCAATTTCTTGGCTTTGGCACGTTCTTCAGCAGCTTTAAGGGCCTTCAAAAGTTCACCCTGCTCTACAAAGTTCGAAATCTCGGCAAGACCTTCCTCAACAAGTGCAACCGACAGATTGACATTGTCGACGAAGAGGCAACCAATAAAACCACTACCCTTTGTCTCCATGTTCTCAACCTGGACGTCAACGTCCTTCTGGAAACAGAACTTGCGGGTGTAGGCGAGTGCTTCTTCACCAAAAGGCTCAGCTTCCATGCCACCAGTACCGGGTGTGATGCGGGCAGCACGTGGACACTTGACTCCAGCAAGTAAAAACGTGATCAGACAGTACTCTTTGGGGATGAATAGTTTGAGGCGAGAGCCGCTCGTCACAAACTCAACTACGGCTTTGATTTCACGAGCACGCTTTAAGGACTGCAAGTAAGACTTGGCGGCTGTGGGGTCGGTTGACACATCACGGATTCGCTGCAGTGGCACATCTTTCTTGGCATGCAGACCATTACCGGACTTTTCAGCCTTAGATTCGGCAACGAGCAAGTCGTTGTAGTAGGATGAACGCTGGTCATCATTTTGCCGGTACCTTACCACAGTAGCAAAGCCCTTCGATACCATTGCTTCGGCAATATTACTACAAAAATTGTTAAATTTAAGTTATCCTAGTCAATTAATATTTATAATGGTGAGTTTGATGTAGATTAGAGTAAGGATAATGACAAAGTTATGTTTCGATCTACTTACACTTTTCCAACCAAAACAGTGCAACAAGTTTTCTCGGGAAAGTTATCTCTGGCGGGTTGAACGTAGTCAACAATCACTTTAACTGGTTTGCCGATGAGTTTTTTTCTTAAGAACTCACGGGCCTCGAACATCCAAGGGATGTCATAGAGTGGCCTGAAGTCCTTTGACTTGGCTGGTGGTTTACCGTCTTCTCCTTGTGGCTGCTTGGGGCGTGGTGGTGGCCTAATACTGCTCAAGAAGATCTTCTTGGTCTCGCCATTATTCATGCGCACAATCATGGAATCCGCACTGGTGATCTCGATGATGGTTCCATTGAGTTCCTCCGATGGACGAGCTGGTACATAGTCTTTCCACAGATGTAAACGCTTATCTTTGGCAGCTTTTTCCGCAAGATAGAGCTTATGTTTGTCGGTTTTGATGTTACTCATTGACCAGTCGACGATGCGAGCAAATCCTTCATTCAGCAAAGCTTCGGCGATGTTACCTAAAATAATAATTTTTTATGAAATCAAATATTCACAAAGGAAAGCAATGAAATACAACAATGGCTAATGTAAAACATGAATACTGACCTTTCGGATGTAGAATACTTCCAACAAATTGGGTGTTGTTGGCAGACTCAAGTAAAACTTCGATGTCTCTTTGCAGAAGACGCGATTCAACGAAAAATTTTGCTTGATCAGCAAATGGCTCAGGGCCATCCTGCTTGAAGGTAGGGCAACGAATACCCGAGATGGCCAAGGTAATATGATAAAAGTCAGGCAACAGCAAAGCCTTGACCGTCGAACCGTCTCTGACGTGTTCGATAAGAGCCTTCACGGGCTTGCCACCGTACTTGTCGACCAGAGTCAGAGGAGTTTCAACGCTGTACTTGACGTCGCGGACGTGATCTGACGACGGGCTTGTGGTTGACCATTTACCCTTACCGGCAGATTTAGCAGCATCCTCGAGTTCTTGGAGTTTGGTCAACTCAGGAGACTGAGCGCGTGTGTCTCGCTTTACAGTCACGAGACCCTCGGACACCAGTTGCTCGGTGATCGATGGTCCCGACATATCTATTATTTATAGATAATAATATTGTATTCAATATACGCGTTTTCATTGTACGATTTAATGTATAAAACAATGAGGTTATAATACCAAAAAAGAATTATGCAAACCATTATTGATAAAATTATAATAATTGTACACAGCAATAAACAAAATCAGAGTAATTTATATAAATGCAATTTACTATGTTAATTTTAAGCAGAACGATGATTTCAGAAAAATAAAAATGACATCAATTTACCTTTGCCTATCCACACCCGTCCATATGTTCTATTATTGTTTGGAGATTTCTCTTCAACAAATACAATTTCTTGTCCAATTAACTTTTTACGCAGGAATTCCCTTGCTTCCCATGCATATGGCTCATCTTTAGTTTCTGGGCTGGAGGTGGAGATCAAATAAGTATACAATGGGTTTACAATTACAAGATTCCATAACTATACTCGTTTCTTTACCTAGTATTGACTGGTCGACGGCCAAGTTTAGGTGCTATTACGTTGGACAAAATCAAGGTCTTTTCTGGTGGAGGTCCTCCCTTGGGCTGACCACGGATAGTAATAGAATCTCCAGAATTCACCTATTAAGCAAATGCAAAGCTATATTAATAACATAAATAAAAATAAAAAATTTAAATTGTACTGGATAAAAATAAAAAACACTTATTATTACAAATGCACTTATTATCCAGATTTGAAAATGGAAGTGCAATAAATATTCTGTACTTATCAAATTTAGCTTAGACGTGAAACAATAAAATCTCTAAGCAAGTATAAGTGTTAGCAGAGAATATTACGCAAAGATGTGAATAAGACGTCAAGTTATACATGTGGCACCTGAACGAAACATAATTATGGAATAGAATGATTATTTTGAAAGAATATGTGGTATTTTTGACTTAAAAGCTGTCTTTTATGCATAGTGGGATATGTAGAATGTAGGTATTTAAGTGATAATTTCAGGATTGACATATGGAATGCAAAGATGACAAGGTGAAAATTGCCGACTGAGACTGGTGTAGGTGTGATAAAAAACGAAAGAATCTGATGGTAGAGCGGATAAAAAATTGAATGAAGTTAATAAACCGTGCATAACGAATGTTTGGGACGAAAGATTCGGGGACCATATGTTTGGCGAGCATATTGCCGCAGCTGGCGTGGGAACTGAGAAATGCAGGTTCTAGAGTAATCCCACTTAGCCACGCGGAGTCGGGATCGAAAAGGTGTACGTGTGTAAACGTTCGGTAAGCAAAAAGTATTACCTGCTTCACGATGCCGTAGCATGGTTTGAGGGGTGGAGGCGTGGGTTGCTGCTGCTGTTCTTGCTTCGGTGCGCTCATGTTGCTGCTGGATACTAACGTGGTCTGAACTGCGTGCGAGCAACGCGTTACGGCTGCCTTGCGACGTGTGCTTTGGCTTTCCTACTCGATCTGGTGCGTGCTAGTGATTCTCGTTGGCAATTGGGGGTTGAGATATTCAGTCGCGTGACATATTGAGGGGATGCTTGCTGCTACTACGGGTACACTACAAATACAGACAAACGGCGAGGACAAAAAGCTGTCCTTAACGCGTACACGTAGCTATAAGTTGTTAAGAAGGCAAATGCCGCGACGATGGCTTACGAGAAAAGAGCGAGTGAGAAATGGGAGACCCCGAAGAAGGTGGACGCGTGTCGAGAGAGCGGAGAGAGCGAGAGAGCGCGCCTCTTCGAGAGACTGCTGCGTGTGCGTGAATGTGTGCGACAGTACCGCTTGTGGTGGGGCAGCCACGAGACAGAGACCTCAATTCGTTTGTTACAAGCGGGAGTGAGATGTACAATATCACTATGCGTACACACACACCATTCGAGCCGATTTTTGACCACGTAATCACACGACGTACCGCGCGGAGATAGCTGAAACTAAGCTCGCAATCGCAGTAGAGACTAAGCGCGTTAAGGATTTACTATCTTGGCGGCCATTTCAGCTCGCGATACGTTCAACACGTGGAGAAAAAGGCCTCAAGCACTCGGACTTCTGTTTCCCTATAAGCGAAAACTGGTAAACTCTGCTGCCATTTTGTTCCAAAACTTTAGAGCCAATAGTCAAATAGCAATGGGTTCCACAATACTCTCAAGATCCGAGTATCTATCAGCGCTTCTCGCGACATCTGCTGTCTAATTTGATGCTCTATGTTCATTGGCCAATGGTCCAATGGCCATTGCTCATTGCCCTGTTACGCACCCTCCATCGTGGTGACTGATTCACATCGCGGCTACCATGTGGCTCTGTATAGCCTTGGAGAAGAAAGATGTCGTTGTTGCCGTCAACGAGTCATGCAGTGTCCTGTTATAACTGTCTCTGTCGTGTCACAATAGTTTAAAGGTCACTGCCATTATCTATGCCGATTTACGAGGGTGTAATCTCACTTTCTCGCGCATGTATCTAACTTACTTTTCGATACGTGTCCGGGACGTGCATTCTAGATTCCTCAACCTTATACACGTTCGGGAAATCGAGAATGATTTAAATTTCGTCCCACACACGTCGTATTGAAAAGTAAAGTTAGATACATGTGCGAGAAAGTGAATTCACCTTCGTGCGGCTTTTTCACCCTGACTTCGTTTGAACGGAACGCCCCTGTGAGGCTACAATTACTTTCGTGCAGTAGTATCGAAATGTACTCTTTCGAAACGGTTTATGAAAAGCTGAAATTTGAGTGTGCGTTTTTTACGGAGCGTGTGGTAAAGTTGCCCTGTCGGCACGACGTGTTGAAAAAGGCAAATTTTTTCAGATTCGTGCATATTAGTATTCGCCGCATTATTCATTATTGCTTCTCGGACCAGTATACATTTAAATTATCCCAAGAAAAGTATTTTTTTCGTCGATCTATTTTAGTCGAAGCACATATAATTAACGAATGTGTGCTTTTTATAGACTTTATTATATCTCTTTAAACGTTACATTACGGACTAATTCATTATATTATACAAGGCTTTTTAAGAAAAATTAAGGCATTTGAAATAAGAACAATTTACATTGCAATAAATAACAAGTTTCTGACCATCATTGTAATATATATGTATAATGTCGTATTAAAAAGCTTCCTGAAATGGATTAATAATTGATTATCCATTATATTCACATATTTTCATGCCATCACTTTACTAATTTTTAATGCAACTCAATTGAATTTGACCTGCTTTTTCCATAGTTTCTTCATTCAAATTTTGATATTCTTTTCACAATAAAGTATCTGAGTGATAAATTGTTAACAGCCAATTCAAACATTTTTAGTGTAAATACTATTGTACATATACAAAACTTATACTCCTTTTTGAAAATAGAGCACGCAATATATGCAAAAATTAAGATTGTTATTTGAATTTGTACAATATTTGAAATTTATATAAAAAATGTAGCATGTAGAATTAATACTATTATTGAAAAAGTATTTAAAAAATTTATGGTGTACAAAATCCGTGAAAAGAATTTAAGATTTATATTAAACATCAAGCGTATAGAAAATTGCTTGTAAAGTTTAAATTATTTTAATTACATTAAAAAATTGGCGTGTAGAAAATTATTTTTTTCCCTAGTGCATAATAAATACGTGTACAAAATCGACTTGTACGTGTAGAGTATTTTTTTATATTGGTGTTTAAAATTTATAAAAATGAATCGTGTACAACTTTGCGTGTAGAATTGAAATTATTCCAATTTCATTAAAAATGCATCGTGTACAATAACATGCGTACAAAACTTGACATTTATTTTCAAAATCAAGCGTGTATAGGACTTTACGTGTAGAATTAGATTCATTCGAATTGTATTAAAAATTATTTGTGTACAAAATTATTTCTTTCTGCTATCTTCGCGTACAATGATATTATGGCAGTGTAGGAAAAAAAAAACGCATTCAATTAATTTGTGTAGTATTCGTAAGTATTGAAATCGAACCCTGCGTACGAAAAGACGTTTGGTTCATTTTATTAGTAGCTTGTGTGTATTTGTGGGTCTGTGTATGCGTGCGCGTATGAATATTGAAGCATGTAATAATGTTTTCAGTTTAGGCGCCCGTAAGCAGCTTTTTACGTGCAGAGCATGCTCAGCGTAGAAAGTTGTTCAGTACAGCGGAGGGGCATCCTGGGCTGCATTGACTCAATACAGCCTAGGACACTGGGCTGTATTGAGTCAATGCAGCCCAGGACCCTGGCTCCCTCTACGTGACAGCACTTAATACGTCGGAGGACTAGTACGAAAAACTTCCATGTAGAGGGTTCTGCATGGAAGTTTTTCCGTGCTGCGGAAAAGTATAGTCTCCGCCTTTAAAAAGTGAGAGGGGATTGTCTAACGTGTCCGAACTTGAAAATCGAGAAAAGTAAAAAGTGCCGGTATTAGTAAAAACTGCAATGTAACTTTTAATAATTAATATATTGATTCTTTTAATTAGTTACAAATATTTTAATTTTATTACATTTTTATTAATTATTAATTATTAAAACTAAGAAAAAATTATCTAATTATTTTTTTATTTATATATGTAAAAAATATAAAAGTTATAATAGTTATTTAGGCCGAGGCCGCGCTCGTACGCTCCACTGCCCCCCCTCTCCTTCCCAAAAAGTCCCTCGACGTAATACGACGTGATACAGCCCGAGGTACGTAAATAACTATTTTGGATTGGCCGAGGCCGCGGTAATAGAAAGAACGCCTTAAAATCGAAGAAATTAAAAAAAAGAAGCTTTTTCTTATCTATTTAAATTTATCTTTACTTTCTATCTCTCTCTCTCTCTCTCTCTCTCTCTCTCTCTCTCTCTCTCTCTCTCTCTCTCTCTCTCTATATATATATATATATATATATATATATATATATATATATGGGACGATCCATGTCAACCGGATCACTACTGTGTCCAAAATTTGATGTGACCAAAAAAATCGTGCAACAACTCATTTTAAAGCTTAGGATATCTACTTTCTGATGCTGTGTGCGCCTTTGCAAAATCCAACATGGCGGCTCCAATATGGCGGCTACAAGAGACAAACTCGTAAACAAAAAATTTTATTTTTCAAATTTTTAGTAATAAATGTTAACAAAATTAATATTTCATATTTTTTTATGAAAATCTGGCTTATTTCCTACAAAAAAGTAACAGAGACCATTTTCGCTAAAATGAAAAATAAAAAAGTTATAATTTTTTGAAAATTTTCAAAAATAAAAAACTTTGCGATTTTTTTACTCAGAAGGAAATGACTTTGGAAAAAAAATTTAAGGAACAAAATTGCTTGAAATTCATCAAAACACAAGTGTGAATTTTTTCGAATTCCTTTGAGCGATTTTTTGCTTTTTGGATTTATCGGATTGTTTGAAAAATTAAAAAACTTCCCAAGATCTTTTACAAAAAAATCGCAAAGTTTTTTATTTTTGAAAATTTTCAAAAAATTATAACTTTTTTATTTTTTATTTTACCGAAAATGGTCTCTGTTACTTTTTTGTAGAAAATGAGCCAGATTTTCATAAAAAAATATGAAATATTAATTTTTTTAACATTTATTACTAAAAATTTGAAAAATAAAATTTGTTGTTTACGAGTTTGTCTCTTGTAGCCGCCATATTGGAGCCGCCATGTTGGATTTTGCAAAGGCGCACACAGCATCAGAAAGTAGATATCCTAAGCTTTAAAATGAGTCGTTGCACGATTTTTTTGGTCACATCAAATTTTGGACACAGCAGTGATCCGGTTGACATGGATCGTCTATATATGGATATATATATATATATATCCATCATTATTTTTCCTTCTTTCTATATTGGTCTCTCTTTCTTTTCTTACTGATGATATGACAAAGTGAGGGGATATAATATGTAAAATACACTTATATTATTTATGTGAGCATCGACACGTGATATTGTTTCCCATCGTGTTTCCCACATGTTTTATATTCCTAACGAATTATAATGTTATCAAGTAACATCATTAATTATTTTAAATTGGACCCTAGAGTAATCACATTTAATTTAATGCCATTTTTCATTTTCATTCTATACATTCTTTGCAAAACTTATTGAGTTATCTTTCAAAACGGATCAACGGTCATATCATCAATATTGTATTGTCATGAAAACCTTGTTACAATAGTACAATTATAAAGTATTCTTATAGGTATTAAAATGTTAGGTTTTCTATTCTTTTTTAATATTGATACGCTCCCACTTAAATTACTTCATAGAAAAGCACAAGATTTTTTTCTTTCGTATTTTAGCGAAATTTTTATAGCTAAACGATAATTATTTATCATAAAATTATAAACATTATTTTCTAGAATTAATATGGTTTGACAGTTTCACTATCATGTTAAACGTTTGATCATTATATACAAGAAGAAATATTTCAGATGAATCTAGTATGTCTTCTTACTTGACAAAGAAATTGGATTAAAATTACTATACAGAAAGGATATGTAGTTAAATGTAATAATGAAAATATGGTAGTACCAACAAAGTACCAAAAACAAAATAATCATCACAAATAGTTGAAAAAACTTGGTCTATGGCCAAATGATTTTTTCTCGTTGTAAAAAAAGCTCTAACTGCTCTAAAAGATCTTTTGCCCAATATGTTTTGATTAAATTAAATATTATATAGCTACAGTAAACTTTCAAGAAACAACTTATAATATTCATATATAAGGAAATCCAAGGAACCTTTATCTTTTCTGTCACTCTACTTTTCTTGGTTTGGAGTGGATATAAAATATGTAGCCCTTTAGTTTTTACGCTACACTAGTTCATTTAATATTTGACCATCGAAAACTTATCTGCCGTGTCTGAAAGACTTTAGAAAATAAAATTATTGAAAAATTGCATTGTTTTCAAACGTCACATTAGATTTTCTTTTCGGCTTTTATTTATAACTTTTTAAAGCCATCATGAATCGATTGGAAATTTCAGGAAATATTCCTCTAATTAAGACTTATAAAATGACTATACTCGTATTAGTGTGCCGTTCAACGTCTTACCGTAATCTACACTTCAATACGTTTTACTCCGTTTTAGGTCATTAAATTTTTTTTGGCATTTTCATGTATAACTTTTTAAAGCATTTAAAATTTATAAATTCGATTTCATGACAATGTAGCTTTACGAAAAAAAACTGTCTTTCAAAGATATGTGTCATAAAAAATTATGGAGTTAGAAGGTAAAATATTTGAAGATATACCTGCGTAACTTTTTTTTCAAATTATATTTTTTCATCGTTACAGCTCTAATTTTTTATTTTATAGGTCAAAACATCCTGTAATTTGTGTATGTTCATTGTAGCAGTCTACTACCAAAATTTTTATACCAGATTTTTAGTTATACGAAAATTGCAAAGCTTTGTTCGTTAAATAAATTAACATTATATGACACATTGGAAAAAATATTGAAAAAGAACATTTTTGAACCTGATTAATACAAAAGCGAACTTGTATCGTAAATGAATGAGAAAAAAAGAAATTCAAGTAGGAAAATATGTTTTTGTTCATTAAAAGTGCTATCTACTTTAAATACTAACTACAACTTTTACCATTTTTTTTTCTTCATAAATAATTATTCGATTGCATAAAAATTGTATATAAAAACTGTATATATTCTAATTAAGGTTTTTAGCATTGGAATTTGATAATAATGTAACAAATGTGAAATTTCCACCTATTATCACTATGGAAACAAGATGAATTTTTTTTAGGTCGAATAGCTAATTTTTTAATTTTTTTTAGGATAACGCAGTAAAGACTTCATATATGTGATAACGCAGTTATATTTTTTACTTGTAGTCATCTAGAATCATGTTTAAATAGGTTTAACGAGTATGCTTCAAAACAAAAAATGAATTACACTTTGTCAAAAAAATTAAAGGTTCTGTGGATTTCTCCATGTATAATTGATACTTTTTTACAATGGTTTAATTGAGTAATCTTCAATAAAGCGAAGTTGACAGTTATTGAACTATATGAATTATAGGAATTACATAGCATATAGATATAAGCCTTATTTCAACTATCATTTAATTAAAGTATGTGGTACCTTCCAATAAATTTAGTTTTCGAAAATTGTTATGATGACGTAGGACTAAGGATTGAAATTGTTATTTTTTAATTTTTAATTGAATCGTACCATGGAAAGAGTATAGATAGTTTATATTCACCTAATACCAATTTAACGGAAAAAATTGTAATGAATATATGTTATATTGCTTTTATTGGACATATCAATAACAGATTTTATAACATTATTCGTGGTATTTTTATTGATAATGGTTTCTGTTTATAATATTTTCATCGATGATTATTTGAAAAGTGTAATTATTGCGAGGAATCATACTAAATACTTTGCACATAAAATTCTAAGTTATAATTTGTACTTATTATCAAGGAGAAATGTTGAAAGCGAAAGTAAAAAGGTGTAAATTTGGTGAACAGACACGAGTCAACCTGAAGCTGATTAACACTGAGAAGAGCAATAGCCACTCAAAGTAAAATTACACGGACGTCCTATTACTGTACTATCATCATTAAAAATTTATATTTGTCGTATATACCGGTGAGATTGAATAGAGCGATACTGATCAATCGATATGGATGAAAAATGGCACGAAGAGGGACAAAAGCCAAGCTGACTCGTACAAAACGGCTGGAAAGTGGTATAAAGCAAGAGTAGGCGAAGTTCGATGGACTTAAGAAAATCAATTAGAGAATGAAAAAGAGAGCGAGTGGCTATTCGGCGGTGGATGTATACACGAGGAATAAGAGTAAGAGCGAAGCAAAGTGCTCGTAGAGAAAGGGAGAGTGCGAGAAAAGCGTCGTGCGCCGCAGGACTGCGCGAGGAGGCAGAGGCAGCCGGTGGCGGGGCGAGATTGGAGGGGGCTGAAAGTAGCGAGATGCGAGACGAGGGTCCCGTGCGCGTTGTTGGTCCCCCGCAAGTGAAGGTGTGTACGTGAGTCTATCTCCGTGCATAGAGACGGTGAATCTCTTTCTCTCTCTCTCTCTCTCTCTCTCTCTCTCTCTCTCTCTCTCTTCTTGCTGTTTCTGGCCTCGCGAGGCGAAGGTAAGGGGACACACAATGCCTATATAAAGCTTGAATGGTGAAGATGCTCTCAGCAATTCGCTCTCAGGACTTTCCCAGATCGAGTCACCGTTCTGCTCGCTCGTAGCTCGGCTCTTGTACCGACAATCGCCTCTTTTCCTAGTTCTACCAGCTCGCGCGTCAATTACTGTCCTGCAGGTCGCTTACGCTCGACCACCGGGCTCCGCGCACCGATCGTTGCACCAGCGACGTACTCGCACAGTCTGACGCGCCGCCGGACGTCCTGTGTTGCACTCTGCACGATCACCGGTGAGTACGTTTTCCTTATTCTTTCGACGATATTCAAATTGCCTACCTTCTTACTTTATTTCTACCTGCCTTGCCATTATCTCTGTAATGCTGGTTCGATATGTCCTTTCGTCGATCGTTATCAATTTATTTTTCTTTTAAGGCTAGTTCATCGTAGAAAGTAATAAGAATATTACTTATTGCTGAAACGGCCGAGCAAATTTGTCTTTGAGAGTTGTGAAGTTGCCCATTGTAAAAGCAATCAAAGCTCATTGCATTGAGAATTACTAGCAAGACAACCACGTCTCTCATATTAAACCTACATACTCGTTACCGACTCATTTCCGTGTAATCGTATAGCACACACTCGTGGAGAACAACGTGCATAGTAATTTACAGAATCTTTTTTTCACTTTCATTACGTCAAAGCTCGTTTGAACAGATTTGTTGAGAAATTTGGACTTTCGATGAATGACGAGCACATTAAAATCTTACGATAGCGATAGAGTTTGATTAAAGTAAATGAAGAGTCTGTTGAAAGATGAATCAAATCAATCTGCCCGTAGGGGGGGGGCGGTGGGGGTGTCGTTTTTGCCTTGCGAAAAAGTCCGAAAATAATAGTCATTGAAAATCCGAGAAGTGCCAGAGTCGGCAATTGAAGATTTCTCAACGAACAATTAGTCCGAGCGAACGTTATTGTCGAAAAAAAAGGAGAAAAGCAAGAAAGAGGACACGACGCGGGAACCGTGGGCGCGGATTCGGAAACGAAAGGATGGAGCTAAGTGAAAATTAAGCCGGAGAGAAGGAGGCGCGGAGGGCTCGCGGGCCTGGCGCTGTTACACAACGGCTCGCGAATTTTCAACATAGCTCGCGAGAGCGAACAGGCCAAGCGAACGAATAAAAGCAGTCCATCGCGCGCGGATCAACTTAGTCACGCTTGCGCTGCAGGGGGGGGGGGGGGGGGGGGAGCTCTGGGTCCGCTCCGCGAGGTAATCGAGGCATCGATCGCCATCTGCGTTCCGGGCCTTGTCGCGGAAATGGACGCGCGACGACAGCTCGAGAAAGCGAGGGGATCCGAGCCGCACAAAAGTAAGCCGTAGGTCGTCTGGCGACGAGCGCGGCGCTTCTCGATCACGCGGAGATTGGCGCTTGGCGCGAGACATCAGGCATGTCCGCAAGAGGGATCGCGCGGAGGCGGCAGCGCCACGGGCCGCTGTGAGCTCGAAAGAGAAAAGAAAGGCTGAACGGGAGTGAAGAGCAACTTGTCGAAAACGCCGCGCGATAAGGACGGAGCGGAGAGCAGAGGCGGCGCTCGGCTCCTAGAAATCAGTACGTGCACGCGAGAGCCGTTCCAGCTGCTTCTCTCTCTCGGATATCAGCTGCACTCGTGGGATTAGCGACTCGCGTAGAACCATGCATGTCCGCTACTGCTCCGCGGAGCCGAGTGTCTAATTATTCACAGATCACACCAGTGCCTGCCCGTCTTGGTCTTTCCCCGCGGCGAAAGTTGCCGGGGAAAAGTCGGCGGCAGCTGTGCCATCGGCAGCGCTGCTAGCAGCGCGTCAATCAAACAACGCTCGCGCTGGTCCTGCGCGATGCCAATCGGCGCGCTCGTTCGCGCAGCCTAATGCCGCGCGCGAGATGCAACGCACACGTGGAATCGGTCGCAAATTGCCAGCCGTCCGGCGAACGACTTCTTACCTTGATCATACGTACTTGAGCGAGCGCGCACGCTTGCATTCCGTTATCCGATCGAAATCAACATACAATGCCGCCATACTACGCGGCTTGACGAGGGAACGAGTCGAGAAGTGGCAGGCGAATTTATATGGAATTGGCCGCCAGCGCGTGCCCGTGCACTTTGGCCCTCCTACTGCAGCCCTCGCTTTTACCTTTCGTCTGTCGAGCTTTACAACTCTGCCGGAGCTTTCGTTTTTCCCGGCTAACCAGCGTTATGCTCGTTATGCAAATAAACCTGAAATTTCAATGCAGTTCACTGTTCTTTCGTCTAATCGTCCCATTTTTCATACTTTCACTTCCCACGAGCTTCCAAATTATCATTTCGAAAATCTGGATAATTAAATCATTCGGTAAATAATGCTCGACCGTTTTTTCCTCTATTATACGCTTGCATCCAATAATGATGATTTTTATAGTCTCGACGGTGTAACGATCTGAACCGCTTGGCAGTTGACTAGACGTAAATTTTTACGATAATAGACAGGGACGCGAGCGCAACTTCCGACAGATATATAGCCTTTAATGTATTGATGGCTTCCAGTTTACGATGGATGGCCGTCAATCGTACGTAAACGTTGCACTATAGGCCGAATGATGAAGTCATGACGCACTTTGGTGGACTCCATGTAAATTGTAAATTATTTTGAAGAAACAATCTAGCTGCACCTAATTTTACGATGCACATCAAATTATAATTCAACGTAAACGTAATATTCAGTAATAGGGCAACTGTCGATTTAAGCGTGGGGAGGGGGGCATCTGGTATTCGAGAGAGTATAGCGTTTGACGGAAAAGGTGAAGCTTTAGCACGCGCAGAAAGGGTAATGCGCTCGTATGTCTACGTCTGTCTTGATGATCATAATTTGCCAGCGCGAGGTCACCGCGGGTCGAGTCTTACGTAAGCAGAAGCGCAGAGAGAAACAAGCGAATCGCATCGCGAGAAGGAGGAAGCTACTCAAAATTGGCCGGAGGCTGTAAGGCTCTACATAGCCCCGAGATCCCCGACGCTCCAGCGAGCGCAACCATGATAATAATCATCGTATCTGCGATCAATCATTGATCAATTTTGTCATTGACCGCGCGTGCTTGTGCGACGACCACAAAGACCACGATTGTCCAGCGAAAGTACGCGCCTCGGATCGTTATCCGTTTCAGTCCGTTCATTTATTTAATTTTTTTTTTTACTTCAATTATTCACCGAAGATTCATCGTTTGATCGTCGCTTTGTTGCCTTTCTTTTTCGACGATGTAAAGACCGAGCATGTCGAAATGTCGGTTGCGAACATTTTTTGCACGTTTTGAGAATGAAACTGAATGATGCGTTCGACAGAACATTCCGGAAGTGAAATACGCGTGACACTTTGTGAAAGTGATCACCGAAGAGAGAAACCGGAGTGTTTTCCAAAGTGCTCGAGAATAATACACGAAGCTCGATATCGAATTTGTTCTGGCTTGGGTATGTAAACTAAAATTGAATAGTCATTAAAATTGAAAGCGAGCTGATTGCGCAAATCTGACTCAAGTATCAGTGATGACGATTCCGCGAATAGTTCAAAAACTTCTATGCTACTACGGAGCAGTGTGGGCTCGGGAGTACAGTCGAGTCTTACGCAACGGCTAATTTACATGAATAACTGGCAAGGTAGTGTCTTGATGATTGCTGGCGTACGATTTTGTTTTTTTCATACTGTAACTAATACTTTGCCCCCGAGCACCGACACTTTCAATCGTGCGATTTTGGAACGTTACGGAAAATGCTCACTTTCGAAGCTTCGTAAACGTGCATTCTTTTCTTTCAATGGCGAGTGTCACAGGAATCTTAGCTGGCTCTGTGGATTGTTCTCGCAAGTATCCAGTTATCTAATCCAAAGACAACGTGAAAGTTTGATTGATTATTGTTTTGACAGAAACGTTCACCGTCGAATAAGATTCATCTCGAGAAAGCATTTATTGCCAAGTATTCATTGTACAAGATGCAAAAAGTGAATCTGGCAGATTAATCAGGCGAAATTCTTCGGTAGAGCTTGGTCGGAAAACGTAGCAAAGTTAGCAGCGTAATCATGATGTACCTATACCTTGGATGTGAAGGGTATTCTTTAATTGAATCGGCAGCGGAAAATATCGCTATTGCATCAAATCTTATCTTCTTACGGCTATTAGAGCGAGCGATACAGTAATGTCGCATCATTAAGTTCGATTGATGTGGACTGCGGTGAAAGTGAACAAGCGATATAATTACAATTGCGACGCGGTAAATCTTGAATGTCGGCGAAATTGAGGCGGGGGCATCGATCTTCGATCGAAACGCGTTACAGCCGCGTCCCGTTCGATGAAAAGTTGGTTTTTCGCGAACCACTGCTGGGACCGCGGAAATAATAACTGTCAGAGCGTGGCGCTCGAGCGGCAGAAAGAAAAGTAGCGGCTCGATAAAGAATTTGCAGCGCGGGGGCTCGCATCGGCCGGAACAAAGCATCGCACGCGAGGGCTAATTGAAATTGAGACCGTATAGCGATGGCGGAGCCGTTAATGGAGCGCGCGGTTACATCTCCGTGTAAAAGTCGAGCACGAGCCGGTTTCCTCGACCTTTCACCCGTCCGAATGCCTCCGGCGCAGCGACGCGCTCGCGAATGCCCTACACTGGTTTCTCATTCGCGCCGATCAGACTGTCGGTCCGACCAGCTCGCTCCTCGAGATGGGCGTGAGGCTCTCGTGACTTTCTCAGCCACTGTTGCTTCCATCTCTGCTTCCTACCGCAACATCTCTTTCGCGCCACACGTTGTGTACGATCCCTCGCCAATACGCAAGCGAGCCGCATCAGCGGTGACGTTTCTTCGACAGAAACGACGTTACGAACGTAAAGGCCTCCCTCTTTCGAAAGGTCAAGGCCGCCTATTAAAATCACGAAACGTCGAAAGGATGGCGTAGGAGGGAACGCGAGCCACGACAACGACGCAGAGCGGGCGCCAATGATGCGCGCAATTCGTTGGCTCGTCAGAAATTGGCGCCGATTTCGTGCCCCTAGGCGGAGACTATCGGACGCGTTGCGAAAGCAGCTCTCCGATCGAGTCCGGCGCGAAATTTCTGGCGAATCATTACGCCGCCACGACTGTCTGCCGAGCTACGGCTTTTCATAGACAATTAATTACCGTTGCAGATGTGTGCAGGCTTTCGTTTTCGCCGAGATCCTCGGCCTCTCGGAGATAACTTTTTCTTCTCCTTTTCTCGGTTTTTTTCGCGAGCGAGCTATCGTGTAATCAGCGCTGCGTTGCGTGCGCGCCTCC